GGGGGGGGGGGCAGACTGCCGAATCCGAACGGCGCCTCCTGCTGCTGCTCGCTCGCCTGCGTTTGGGTTGGGCTTGGGAGCCGCGTCTCTACCTACAGCTTCACTCGACATGATTCCGGTTGATTGCGAATGCTCAGCCGAGCTTTTGACGTCCTGAAGAAGGTATGGTTTATGCGTTCGCGTTCGGCGCGTTCCAAGACGACGTCTGCTGCTCGTTGGCGTGCAATACTCCAAGGCAGCGGCGGAGAATGACGTTTGCACGGTGGTTCGGCTCTACCGGATGGCACGTCGGCCCAAGAAAAAGCGCTAGGTGATGGTGGACTCGGGTTTGTTCGCTGCAGCTGCGATTTGCGGATGCGAGAAGCTCAGGATGGTGTGAGCTGCCGAGGACTCGGTTGCGAGTGGTGGGCCGAGGTGCGCAGATGTTGGCGGTCGAGATTGGTGGTCAACGTCGAGATGCAAGCAACAATGCTCCACAGAGCGGATTAACGTAACGACCCACGCGCACACACTCACACACACCCACACACACGCCAGGACGTCTTGTTCCCGAGTTACGACCGAGAGAATTGAGAGAGATCTGGGCTGCAGCAGCCACACGCAAAGCCACGGATCTGCCGCGTCATGGCCGTCATCCGGCGCTCGGGAGCGTGTGAAGCCTCGGCGCCACGACCCTCTCTTTTTTTGCATTTCCACTCGCCCAGCGCCTTTCCTGCACGCCTTGGTCACTTTTTCCAATCCCCCCCCCCCCCTCCCCTTTTGTGCACTGTATCTGTCTCACACTCTGCCCCGTTCGTCGGTTCGTCTCTTCGCCTCACATCCGATGCTGCCCTTTTTCGACTGCTTTCGGCTGCGATGGATCCCCCACTCGACCCCCCGCTACCACTCTGCATTCCATCCGGGGAGCAACATCGTCAAATGTTGCCCAGTGGATCAGACGGCGCTTGGGGCTACGTAGCAGCTGCTCCCGAATGGACGATCGTCTGATCTGATCTGATTGGGCCAAGTCAGGGCTGTTGCGCGAGTGTGCGCCTAAATTTTTGAGCGTGCACTTTGATCGCCCTGACTGGAGCGGTGCGCCAAATTTCGAGGCTGGAAATCGTCATGTCGTCGAGCTGCATGGCCGGCGAGCGGAAAGCAAAGCTGAGCTGCTGCAGTCTGAGGCAGTCTGGCGCCCTGCCGATGAGTTCGACCCCAGCTCCAAGCAGGTTGGCCGATTTGCCCCCCGCATCACTACCGGCATCCGCACACGCCTCGCTCACTGTGACCCACGTTGGTGGATGAAAAAGATCTCGACACTTCGCCTAGATATCCAGCTGCTTCCATTTGTGCCACGGCCCAACACCTTATGCCCTCGTGGCTCGTCACTTGGCCCTCGTCGTGCCTGCCTGCTAGGCTCGATGGGTACAGCAGCACCGAGGTAGGTCCGATCCAACGCGCTCGGCCCTCTTCGGCTCCACTCCAGTCCAGTTCATGCGGAATCCCAAGAACGCCGTCGACCTTCTCTCTCTCTCTCTCTGCCTCGACACGCTCTCTGCCCCGAGTCTCGTCTGTCGACGCGCATGGAAGGGGCCTTGGCTTCGGATGAGGCACAAAAGAGACAGCCTGCCAGCAAGATTGCTTGCGTGCACCTGCTCAATGCCATCCGGTACCTGTCTGTGAAGCCCGATCCCCGCGATTCGTGTGGGCTACCTCGCCTCCTGCCCGTCTAGACTCACTACACAGCCTCAGTCGAGAGTCAAACACAGGCCCGACCGAACCGCAAGACACCAGACGGCCAACACAGCGGCGTTGCCGAGCTGGCCGAGCTTCGGTGAAAAAGTCGCACATGTCGATATTACACTGTTGCGAGAGGAATGCATAGACGAGACCTGCCGTCCTTTCCGTCCTTCGGATGGGCAGCCCGGGAGCCGAAGCGGTGGCGGAGGCGGCAGTCGATTCGATCTCGCCCACACCTCCTCCCGACTCTTTCCGTTCGGGACTCGACGATGGGCTCTAAGACATTTAGGCCTCGAAGGTGACCGAGGCACCCAGCTTGTGGGCGTTGGCCGAAGCCTGCGCGTCGCTGAGCTTGGCGGTGTCGAGCGCAAGACCGAACGAGGCCTTGACGCCGGGGCGGAGCGCCTGGGTGTAGCCGAGGCAGAGGATACCCGAGTTGTTGATCTTGGCCTTCACGAAGGCGGCGTTGTCGAGGTAGGTCTTGGTGCCGACCTCGAGGTTGACGTTCGAGTTGGGGCTCTTGGAGTCGTACGTGGCACGGGCACCGGCCTCGGTGTCGGCGTTGACGCGGTGGTAGTAGCTGGCCGAGTAGGTCGACAGGTTGCCGAGGCCGTGGAAGGTGACGGCGTAGTCGGGGGCGTGGAAGCCGGCGCCGAGGTTGTAGCGGCTCAGCTTGCCCTCCTTGACGTCGTAGCTGGCCTCAGCACCGGCGAGGAAGCCGTCGCGGCCGAGGACGGCGTCGGCGGTGAAGGTGGGGCCCTTGAAGAGATCAAGGTGCTGGCGGGTGTGCAGACCAGGCTGCTTGTAGGTCGAGGCGAAGAGCGCGTTCTTGGTCTGCTTCTCGGGCACGAGCGTCGAGACGAGCTCGAGCTTGAGGCCCTTGGCGATGTGGTTCTCGAGCTCAATGTGGTTGCGGAGCACGTTGGCGGTGGACCAGGCCTGGGTGAAGGTGACGCCGTTCTTGCGGTCCTCCCACTTGGCCTCGAGGTCGCCGTTGATGGCCTGCGACTTGGAGTCACGGATGCCGAGAACGCGGAAGGTGACACCGTTGGGCGTCTTGGTCTTGACCTCGAGCGAGTTGCCGTGGATGGGGTAGTCCTTGGACAGGAGGTCGTTGGCAGCCTTGCCTGTTGGCGATTGAAGCGATCAACGCAACAAAGTGGGCGCATAGGAGTGGCAGGTGTTCAGCGCCCGAACCCCATATCTGTGCGAGTTGTTTCAAGTGGAGTCACGTTGCTACTTACCAAGGTCCTTCCAGGAAGGGGGAACGGGCTGGGAGATGACGGGAGCCATTTTGCTGGTGGTTGCAATGATCATCAAGGGAGAGACGGAATGACGGTCAGTTCGACAGTCCTTGCAATGTAGAGAAGGGCGAGCCCGGGCACTCTTTTCCATCGAGGCTACGTGATCGAGCCAGCCGTACAAACCGACAAAGGCTAGTTGTCGGAAGTTAGGCTGGGCGGGGGCGGCAAGCTCGGCATGCAGTGCCAGCAGCGGATCTCTTGTAGCTGTTCGAGGAACACTTACAGCAATGAAGG